TTGAATTAAAATTTGTTCCAAACTTTAAACCAAATGTTATATGTGTTATATAAATACGTGATCTTTATTTTTATCGAAAAATAATTTTCGAGTATAGAGTATCATGTAAAATTTTTTATCCCATGTTCGCTTCTTATTGAAATGAAAATAACTGGATATTATTTTTTTAAATTAAAATTATGATTAATTAAGATTAGTTTCAATTTTTGAAAATTAATTCTTTAAAATCATTTTTTGAAAATTACCAACGCGGTAGCAGAATTTACCTGCACTATATTGATTGACCTCAACGTAATTAAACCGAGATTATTACAGGTATGTCAACTGATTCTTAATATATAATTAGCGAATTGAATAATAAAACTTGTAAAAAAAAGAAATAACTACACCGACATTGTAAAAGCGAAAAAAAAGTTGCATTTCATATGCATAGCTGCCAACTTGTACGGCCGCTGAGAAAAAATTTTCTTAGTGGTAGCAACATTATAGCGCTTTGACGCATTAAATCTTCAATTTAAAGTATAAAAGATTTTTTCCATTGAACCACGACAAATCAATAATTAAAAAACACGTAGATATGATCTATTTATTAGCTGATTAAGCTCGTAAAAGTTTATTAGTGTAATTTTTCGAAAATATTTTCAACTTTAATCGTTGTTTTACTACCACTTTGTAAAATATTTCTCAGCGACCGTGCAAGTTGGCAAGTATGCATATGATACTTTGAGTTTTTTACATGTTGTGGTGGAAAAATGACTTAAATTGAAGAATACTGAACTAAATATGATTACCACTAGAAAACATCTTTTTACGAAGCGGAACAAGTTGGCACCTCTGTTATTACCGTAATGTATCAACTTGCGATTTATTTTTATGTATGACTCAGANAACATTATAATAAAGTAACCATGATTAGAAGTATGTACAAACTTGATCGGAGATTTACATTAAATGCCATTGAAAAATGAATACAGCCTTGATTAGATGGATATACATGAAATACGAGCTTAATCTGTGATATTTACATTAATTGCAGTAGTAATTTGGAATTCAGCATTAAAAATTGATGATAGCATATATACAGAAAATCGGGATTCAAAATCATGAAGATTCTACATAAATTTTGCAAAGTCTTAGTGGTGCCATCTAGCATGCTTTAATGATTTGTGGTAGCCATAAAAAAATCAAGCCGTTTACTTGTGAAATAATAAAACAATGAAAAAATTCAATATGACAAATTGGCGTTTTTACATAACACTAGAAATATTGATGGTAGACTTAAATTAAAAATAAAGATAAAATATGATTTGAT